ACCATGAGTATGGGTATGAGAAGAAATTGGAATGAAGTGTACCATAGTATTGAGTAGTCGAGGACAGAGATTAGCTAGTGAGAAAATAACATGTCGATCAATGGAGATTGGGCAAACAATTAATAATTCATCTAGGCATACTTACTCAGTCCACTCGCACCACTGATTGAACTTCTTAGACTTTCTGAACTCCCTGATGGTTCCGATGCATTGTCATAATCCTACAAGAGTATACAAATTTAACATTAATTGCAAACTCTTAAATAAAAACTGTATCACTAAAATGGCAACGATTCTTGTATTAAACACATACACAATTTTAGAAGAAATCAGCCATGATACTTTGGCACAGGTAACACCAACAAGTGAGTCTGCTAATACTGAGGGGGTGGGGGGGGGGGCAAAGGGTTATTTTCGTTCAACGTAATTGCAATATTTTTTTGTTCATACATGTAAATTGAAAAAATAAATTCTGTTCTGTAATCACAGGCTAGACATACAAAGTAATCAATCAAATATTTTTTTCGTATACTGTAAAAATATGTCATTTTTCTCGGTACATACAAGAATTTACATCCAAATAAAAAAGTCAAAAAGAGTAATCCAGGGAAATTACATTTTCGAAACTGTAAAACGACTAGATGACACAATTCACTGCAAAATTCAATTCTCACTGTAAACTGTAAAAACGTCTTTTTTTCCTTGTAAATTGTAAAAAGCCCTTTTTATTTCCCGTAAAATTGTACCAGCTACCCCCCTTGCCCCTTCTCAATACAGGTTGACACCTTGGTACTAATCTTTTAATAAACTGTTTAATAAACCAATTTAGGTGCTCAATGAGTTCTCGGCTGAAGATTTTTTCCAAGAAGGATTTTGTATTGATCTTCTTTTGCCCTCGTTAGGCAGATGTAAATTTGTCTGAATGATAGTAAATGTGGACTATCTGTAACAATTGACTTCAAAGTTGAGTTTGTGCTGTTTCCTTTACTTCAGCCGTTTTCATCGGCTCTTCGACCGGCGTTCCACAGCAGCTTGCACAGAGCCCATAGAAATACACGGTACAGTGGTGCACGTCTGTGACGTAGCTCTGCCCGTCTCGAGCACGTTGTATCGGAACAAAAGTATGTATCTATGCCAATCTGTTATGTAATGCATAATTTTTCATTAAAAATAAATAAATAAACAATGTACCTGGTCACCCTGACTTTTGGATGATGACTTTCTGCCAATTTTCCGTCTCATTTCTTTCATTTTGTCAAGAAAACTTGCCGTCCTGACCACGTCCAATGATCTCTTCTGTTAAAAAAAGGATGTGTACAAAATGAGTTCCATTTATGTACATGTATACACGCTGTTAGAATAGTTTCAACTGTGATAAGAATTATGGCTAACATTTCAGATAGTTTTCAACTGATCTGTAATTATATGGTTTGCGTATTGAAAAACACTAGTCTGACTATTTTTATTTCCCGGATTGGACAACTTTTACAACCTTTACTACTAAACCAATATATATATTTTTATTGACTAAGAATATTATTTGATCAACAAAAAATGATTCACCAACACATACACTCTAATTAATGAAAGCATATTTAATTGTATTTAATATCTGGCAATAAACCAACAAATTACTGAAGGAAACCTGCAAAGACTTATTGGCAAAATGCATTACCGAATGACTTTTTTTTTTTTCGTTTTTGAAGAAACTAGAGGTACTACCAGAGTAAATGCTTATATATTGCAAAATGCTTGGTTTTAAAGCAGAAGGGTTGTCACCTGCACACGTGCAGGAATTGAGTCCCAAGCAAAATGCTAAGGCTCATGGGTAGACGCTTGTTTGTAAACAATGACACGCTATGGCCATCTGATGCATGCGCAGGTGACGACTCTCCAGTTTTAAAATCAAAGTGCCACAGTCGCCATCCACGAGTGTTCGAATTTTGTGTACCAGTAAATAATAATAATAACAAATAACAAAGATCAGTGTCTAAAGATAGCAAACATTAGTTCTTTCCGAATTGCAGTGAATTACATTCCAAGCGAACTTTGACCTGTATCACTTACCCTCTCGCCAGTATCGCCTTTCTCTGCAGTACTATAAAGACTGTCTTCTGTCTCGGACGTGATGGATCTGGTTTCATCCTCTGTACCGCTCATACTGCTTCTCTGTAAACATTAAAGATTAGACGACATCAGAATAGACCCAAGATGACGGCAGTGTTCACGAGGATATCATGCGACAATCTGACAATGTTTTTTTTCTCTAAAACAATGTACAGTAGCAAACATGCAAACATTATACAGTCAAACCTGTGTTTAGTGACCACCTCTAAATAAAGACCACCTGTGACCACTTTTGATCAAACCATAGCAAATGAACAACCTGTGTATTCAGCAATATTTTTGACAGATTCCCCATTGTTTAGAGATCAAAAATTATAATTATTAATTCAAAAATAATTTATTTATAAAACAATTTCCAATTTCTTCAAGTCAAACTTGATTTTGATCAAATAAATGTGCTTTTGTTAAAACAGTACCATATTATTATTTCCTTAACAAATATTACTGGGAAATACTTTATTTTTGCTGGAATAAATTTTTGCTGAAAAGACTTTTTGGGTGTTTTGCATGGAATTTATTTTCACTGATTTTTGATGAGTTTAATGTAAAATATAGGAAAAAAGGTATATTCCCTTGATTTTATTTTCACTGAATAATTCCTTCAGCAAAAATTAATTCCAAGCGAAAATAAAGTATTTTACAGTATGCCAAAAGTATGAAATGGCGATCTGAAAAATATTAATTCCAAGTCCCATATAATGTCTATAATGATCATTTGAATGAAGCTCCATGGGTGGTCGCTATACAGAGGTTTAGGTGTCATCATTTGAGACATAGTTGACAGATAGTCTACGTACAGATGATGATATTCTTCGGATAGCTTCAATGAATCTATTACTTCTCCGTCCTCCGGAATTCCGAGAAAAACTTTCTGATTGTTCTTTCTCAGGTGTCACCTCAGTGGAATTGTCCATTACCCTGTTTTCCGCATTTTTAATTTCCTCATTTGCATCGTCAATACACACATATTGATCCTGCGGCAACAGAGTTTCTGATTCCTCATCCTTTGTTGCTTGGTTGCGTTCAATTGAATCAGTTTTTCCCAGACTCTCATCTGTTTCGCTTTTTGAAAATGACGAGTCTATCGTTGCATAAGGAATTTCACTGGAAGTGGGTGTCCTCTGATTGGACGGGGAGTCTAGTACTGGAGAATCTGCATTTTGATTAGCTGACAGTTCAGGATCAGGTGGTTCCTCATAGAGGTGAACTGGTACATCAGAGTCAGGGGGCTCTTCGTAAAGATGAATAAGTTTTTCCTCATTAGAAGGAGATGATGGAGCTTGAGAAGACAGTGGCGTCTCCA